TTTTCAGTCAAAGATAGGATTGCTCGAGAGCTGGCATGTGACCCAGCTGGCAGCTCTCTTTTCCATATACAATGCTTCATTTTCATAATGTCCCTGCCAGCCTGGCTGCCTGTGCCCACCCACCACCACCAAGTCAACCTAGAGTAGACCGTGCCTTGACTCCCACCCTTCTCTAACCATCTGGGAATCTAGGAAGATGAGATTCATGGGTGATGGGGAGTTTTCCCTATGGCTGCTGAAGCCGGAAAGGACGAATTGAAAAGTTCATTTACAACTTATTGTCCTGGATTCACATTTGCTTAAACTTCTCTAAGTGAACAATCTACTCTCCCCATTTCAGTGGTAGTCCTCTCCCTCCCTAAACTTCCCTTTCCCATGCTAGTCCCCTCCTCCAAATACTCTGCTTCTACCTTAACCACCCTAGTGTTCCGAAGTGTTAGATTGATTTGGCACAGGTTGGACAAAAGTAAAGGTTGGGCTGACTGTACATTTGGATCCAGGTTAATTTTAGTCGCTGATCTTTCTCCGTTTTCTTTCTCCTCCCTCTTCACTCAGCAAGCACAAGCACAGCCTGGCTGGCGATTTTAAATAGGCCCCCCGACCTTTCCACTGAGGTGTCCTGTTTCAGGTCTCCCTTCGCATAGCGCTGGAGTAGAGAGGGAGGTGGAGCTGCTCGGAGTGACGAAGGAGGGGAATGCTAAGGCCAGGACTCTGGCTGCGCTGGCCCTAACCCAAATTACTCTGCCTTTGCAGGTCAACACTGGACTTACAAGGGTGAGAACGGAACCTGGGTGTCCTCCCTCCTGCCGCCCCTTTCACACTTGGACCTCCTCCCATTTCTGTTACATTGATTTTGACTCATAGCAACCCTCCAAAAACTGCCCCGTAGGGTTTCCAAGACTGTACATTTTTACCAAAAGACTGCTCCATCTCTTACCTAGCAGAGGCCCTGGTAGGTTCAAACCACCAATCTTTGGACTAGCAGCTGAGCACTTAGCCCCTGCGCCACCACCACGACCCCTGGAACTCCTCCTTTCACAGGAAGAACTTGATCTGATCGCGTGACTGTCTCCAAGCCCTTGGTTTTGCATACCTGGTTCCTATCAAATCCCTCACCTCCTGATTCAGCAGAAAAGCCAGTTAATTCTTCAGAAGATGTATGCAGGAGTGAGGGAGCAGTAGTAGAAAGGAAACTGGATGGGTAAGGGAAGCCTAAGCTTAGCAGCCAGTTCTCCTGGCTCTGGATTCTAACCTCCACCTCTCACTGAGCATGAGGTCAGAGATAAAGAGGCTTGTGACCCTGGAGCTCAATTCCTTTGCCCTTTGAACCTTTTTGATCAATGAGTTAACCAAATCCCAGAAGAATCAATATGAGGCCCAGCGTAAGAGGAAGGAGAGTGGGAGAGTATCTGAATCCCAAGGCCACTTGATCTCCCCAAGGAGATTCAACTTACTTTATTTCACCTGTTTCCCATCTCTGGTAGCCTTTTTAGTCATCTCCTCCTCTCCCTCATTCAGCTTTTTTACCTGAAACTACAGGTAAGTAGAAGAGCTGCCATTCCCCATTTTCCAGGAATGTTCAGGAATCATCTTTGCCTCTGGGTTGGGGCTTCAGATTCAGTAGGGATTCTAACCTCACTGGGCCTTGGACTGGGTTCTTGACCTGGGGTGGAGAAGGGAAGTGCAGTTCTACCTCCACAATGCTATACAGCTTGGTGGGAGTGGTGGTTTGTTGGAGAAGGGTGGCACAGACTGGAGAGCAAGACAAACGTCCTTGTTAACTCTCACCAGGCCCACATGGTCAAGACCACTGGCCAGCATCTTATCCTGATTGTGGGGGTAGTGATCAGTCCCCCATCAACATCCAGATGGACAGTGTGACATTTGACCCTGAGTTACCAGCTCTTGAGCCTCATGGATATGACCAGCCTGGCACTGAACCTCTGGACCTGCACAATAATGGCCATACAGGTAGAAACGACAAAGGTACAGGCTCTAGTTCCAGCTGCAGGAGTCAGGGGGAAGCGGCACTCTCCTAATTTCCGAGTCTTCACGTTTTCTTCCTGAATTTGGTGATCTAAGAACGAGGATCAGGCTCCTAAAGCCAAAGGGGAAATCCAGAGTCTATGATCAAGAGTTATGAGTGGATTAGTATTTAGCATTGACGTAATTTCTCCTGGGAAAAGGGGTGGTATACCAGAAAAGCATTTGCCTTATAGTTGTTGTACTGTCGAGTAGAAACCGATCCCACAGCTGACCCTCTAATGGTTTTTCAGAGGTGGTAATTCACAGATTACCCATCTTTCTCCCACGCAGCATGTGGTGGATTCATACAGCTTACCTTTGCATTGGCAGTGCAATTCCTTACTACTAAGGCATCAGAACTATGAGTGAGATGAGTTGCTACTGAAGGATGGAGACAGAAAAGCCCCAGTACAGCTACAAAGCATGACAATCCAGCAGTGGAGATGTAGCCATATTTCCCCACCAATCCTAGGTTGCTCTCTCTTCCTCACAGTGCAGCTCTCTCTGCCTCCGACTCTATACCTGGATGGACTTCCCCGAAGATATGTAGCTGCCCAGCTCCACTTGCACTGGGGTCAGAAAGGATCCCCAGGGGGGTCAGAGCACCAGATCAACAGTGAAGCTACAGCTGCAGAGGTACCAGGGTGCAAAGAGCTTGGGCTGGGACACAGATAAGTCATACTGAGATGAGTCCAACATTTGTGAGATAGACTTTTTAAAAGAGTATGACATTTGGGAACGGTTATTTAAGAACTGGGGAATGAATGTTAAATGACCCCAACTCCTTCTGCCTTTATTCAGCTCCACATTGTACATTATGATGCTGATTCCTATGACAGCTTGAGTGAGGCAGCTCAGAAGCCTCAGGGCCTGGCTGTTCTGGGCATCTTAATTGAGGTCAGTAGCCTCGAATCCTTCCCTGAGCCTCTCTCTATCCTCTGCATCCTTTGGTCCTATACTGCTATATCTGTTTATATGTCTTATTCTAATTCTTAATGTAAACTCTCCTGACCTTTGCTAGGTAGGAGAGACCAAGAATCTAGCTTACGAGCACATTCTGAGTCACTTGCATGAAATCAGACACAAAGGTAAGCCTCTGAAAATTGACAGAGAAAATGAAACTAAAGAGAAACTGGTTTAAGAGGCCTGGAATGAGGCAAATTAAAGGCTCAGGGGTTGGTGCTCCTGGGAGCCCAGTCAAGATAAGCTAGGATGGTGAGAGAAAGATGAGTCCTGGTCTGTTCTCCCCAGATCAGAAGACCTCAGTGCCTCCCTTCAACGTGAGAGAGCTGCTCCCCCCAGAGCTGGGGCAGTTCTTCCGTTACAATGGCTCACTAACCACGCCCCCTTGCTACCAGAGTGTGCTCTGGACAGTCTTCAACCGAAGGGCCCAGATTTCCATGGGCCAGGTGAGTGGTGGTGAGGTGAGGCAGTAGAGACCTAGTTGTGACCCCAGATACTGTCCAAATCCCCAAAGTGACATTTCTCTCCTAACCCTACTGTCCTGCTCCTTAGCTGGAAAACCTTCAAGAGACACTGTTCTCCACGGAAGAGGAGCCCTCTGAGCTTCTGGTACTAAACTACCGAGACCCCCAGCCTCTCAATCACCGAGCAGTGTTCGCTTCTTTCATTGAAGGTGACTGTGTAGGGCTCAGGAAAAGAAATGAGAAGTTGAAGGACCCAAAGGGCAGGAATTGGGAAGCCTCTGGGAAGGAAAAAAGACCAGAGGGGAAGGTGTCTCCAGGATTTGCCTGGATTGGGAAACACCCCCTAACCTCTGGTGTTTAGGTGATTTTCCAGCCCAGAAATGGAGTGTGCTGCTCCTAGGTGGGATGATGAGGATCTTAAGTCCCACTGACCCAGGTTTTCTTCCCTTGCAGTGGGATCTATATATACCACAGGTAAGGCAGTGTACCTGGCTACTGGGGGCAGAAAACCTTCAGCAAGTGAGAGAAAGGGTGTATTACGTTAGTGCTATCCTGACATCTTTCATCTTTACCTTCCCAGGTGAAATGCTGGGTCTAGGTGTAGGAATCTTGGTCGGCTGTCTCTGCCTTCTGCTAGCTGTCTTTTTGATCGCTAGAAAGATCAGGTGAGGTCCTACTTTTGGTTTACCTAGTCCTTTCTTTTCTACTGAAAAGCTTTCTCCCATCACACTTCTAATCTACTTCACATGGGACATAAGTAATTTCTATGAACCATAAATCCTTTCAGGAAGAAGAGGCTGAGAAATCGGAAAAGCGTAGTCTTCACCTCAGGACGAGCCACCACAGAGGCATAGACTCCATCTCAAATATCCTGATCACCTTCTGCTCACACGTATCAGCCTCTGAAATGGGGAGCATGGATTGGCCCTAAAAACTTTAGAAGTAGTAGGCAGATGTCCCCCTACTTTCTCTGGACATCTAGAGAGAGGCATGGATACAGGTTCTCATTCAAGCATGAGCAGAGCTTTCAATGTCTTAAAATGAGTAGGAAGAGCTCAGGAAATCCCTGTGTTGCCAATGCAGAGCCACTGTGCTTAGCTGTAGGGGAATCCCAAAGTTCATGCAATCCTTCCTCTTTCTGTCCCTTTCCTTAGGTATATTTCAGGGTCTCCTTTCATGATAAGGGGTGCTGTAGCTAAGGGTTATATTATTTTGCTCAGTGTATCTGGAAATTAAAGTTTCTGACCTGACCTCTAGTAAGCTAGTTCCTTCCTCTCTCAGATAGTGGTGTGTGGGTAGTAACAACAAAAAGCAACAGGGGTAATTAACTCCCTGCATCTGAGGCCTAGAATTCGAGAGCCACCTCCTGGGAAAATGGCCCCAAATATATGACGTGTTAGATTACCAGCCCACATTTCTGCCCTACAAGGGAGGCTATACCTGGGGGAGGTAAGGGTGACCAGGTGAGGAAGTAAGCCGGACAAGGAACAAAAGGGAGCAGAAATCTCAATTAACATGTTAACCCCTCCCTTAAAAGCCAAGTTTCCCCACAATTATAAAGTCCTTTTTATTAGTCAAAATCACAATCACCTTGATTAAAAGGATGGCACACTCCACCCTCAGAAGAAAATGATACAGTTTATAGAAAACCTCCCCTCCCCCCACACCCCTCAATTAAAAACTAGAAAAGAAAATCTGTCCTCCATCCCTGCGATGTCATGGTAGTGACTCCTCCAGTAGCACTAATGCCCTGGAGAGGGCCAGCTGATGGCAGCACCCTCCAATTCACCTTGGGGAGAGGAGGGGTGCTGGTGGTCTAGGAGGTTAAAACCATTAGTTCCAGTAATACCAGTTCTCAAGCCCAAACATGCACTCCCTTCCTTTCCCCCAGCACCTGGGAAAAGCGAATAAGTATAAGCCCAGCTATAAGGAGCAATTTGAAGGGAAAATGTAGTCCAAGGAGGTTAGAAAAATTCCAACATACCTCCCTCCTCCCCCGACTCATAAAGAGAAAAGGCAGTTTGGAGTCTTTATCACACCAAAAATGGTTCCCCTCACACCTGAGAAAAGACCAAGATGTCCAGTCTAGGGAGAGGATACTGGGGAACTCAGAGCCCGTCTACCCTTGAGCCTCCATCAACTTCATCTCCAGGACAATGGTTAAGCTAGATCTCTTTTCTTGGCAACCTGCTCTGTCCAGAACTGGAGATGGAGAAATACAGGGCGAGGAGATCATGAGGGCACCCCAGGCCCAGGGGTCCCCCCCCAGGTTCCCTCAGTCCTCGGGTGGAATGCGCAGGGCAGAATACACCATCACCCGACTGTCCTCCTGCCGTCGGCCTGCAGAGGGGAAGGGGGGTGAGTCTTGGGCAAGATGAGAGGAGAGCACTGACATACGGGGAGTCCTGCACAAGGGGGTCCCCAGGTGGTGGGGATAAGTGCAGAATCAAACCCACCAGTCACTGACTGGCTAAACCCAGGCTGCTCCTGGTAAAGCCTAGAGACTAAAGGTCACAAGTGGACACAAGAGAACCCTGAAGGTGATGGGACAGACCGACGAGCAGACAGAAAGGTGGGCAATGGACCCAGGCTAGGGCAGGGCTCAGTCATGGGCAGTGGGCAGGCAGGTAGGTGATCTGGCAGGCGATCAGTCCAGGTAGTCAGTCCTTACACGAAAGGCTGCGCTGAATACTTCGGAGGGAACCTCCAGCTGTGATGAAGGCCCAGAGTCCCATGGAAACAGTGACTGCATAGATGGGCAGCAGGCTGGCTTCATACCAAGGGTTCAGGAACGTCTGGAGATGGAGTGAAGAATGGGGAAAATTATATACTCCTCTCAACACGTAATTCCACATACTCCTTACATCTCTGACCCAAAGCTCCGCAGATATCTCACCCAAAGCCCCTAGTCCTTCCTTTCAGAGCACCAGCATCTTGTGGGGAAGAATTCTTTTGATTTTTAGCTTTCTCAGATTTCTGCAGTTCCTGTTCACCTTATGCCATATGCATTAGTTGGACTACTCCATTCAAATATCTCTCTGGCAGAATACCCAGAGGAGATGAAACAATTAGTTCTCAGGTAAAAGATTTCTAAAGACTCACCTTCTTGTCTCCTCCCAAAGTGAGTTTTAAAATGCTCAGATTGTAATTCCCCCATCCTATTCACCACTGAAAGCTGTTCTCCCTAAGGCCTTTATTTTCAACTCACCAGTCCTGATGTCAGTAGGTGACTCCCAACCACCAGGCCCAAAGCCCAGTACCGTCTTCTCTCACAGGCATCAAAGAACACAACTCCCCAAAAGGTATGGAGCAGGATAATGGCTGCTGTGAGAAAGGCTACCGGGAAAGAGACTGAAATGAGACTCTGATTTTCTCCCAAACTCCTGAGATATTAGGACAAAGAAGTCTCCCAGGAAAAGCCAGTAAAAGGAGATCAGGGTCAGGAAGGGATGAGCTATGAAAATAAGACAGAAAGTGGATCTTACCTGAAGTCAAGAAGTAATAGGGTGAGTCTCCATGGATCCCAACCACACCTGGCCCAAGTGCATCAGCCAAAATATTGATAACAGAGAAAACACCACTGATGATACCGAAGGAAAGACCAGAAACTGTGGGAGAAGGGAGTTTCTCATCAACGTCAGAGATCAATATGGACTGATTACCAATGACTCCCTCCCCATCCCTAGTCACAATTTTCCCATGAACACTCTCCTTCCAGCCATCTCTCCCGGAAGGCTAGATAGGAGGGAAAACAAGAAAGCATTGGAAACATGTGGTTGTTTAGAGATTTTAGATGTTTAGAGGTCTTATAACTCCCTCCTCCACGCCCTCTCCCTAGGCTCACCATAGGCCATCTGGCGGATGGAGATGGGTGATCTGCCGTCCTCACTCAGCGATGCTAACCCCTCATCTGCCTTCCTGGGGTGGGGTGGGGTAAACATGAGGGAAGGCAGGGACGCTCCTTTCCCTCAGATTCCTCCCTCTTCCAAACCCCCAAGGGCTGTCCCGTCCCGTTAGTGCAATCCTCTGCCCCTCTCCCTTCCAGGTCACCCATCTTCTTACTTAAGCAGCTTGTAGTAAGCAAAACGGAACACCTCCTGCAGAAGGACAGAAACTGCAGCACCAAAAATCAGGAGGCCATACTGGAGCCGGGCATCTGACCGGTCAGTCACATGGACCAAGATGAACCAGACCACAGAGGCCAAGAGCAGAGAGACCAGCCAGAAAAATGCCCTGAAGAAAGACAATGGCAGTCAGGCAGGAAACGGTAGGGGCAACCAGAGAGAGAGATCATGGAGAAGAATCAGCTAAGGCATGAAAAGTGGAAGTTATACTTCCGGATGGTCAGGAAGACCGAGGACGAGTAGAGACTCATATGTAGGGATCTAGACACAGGAGGAAAGATAGAAATTTGGCTAAAGACTTGTGGGCCGGAGTGTGCAACCACGAAAGGCTGAGTATCCATTCCGGGATCCTCCTTCTGGACGCCTGACTCGGTTGAGCGAGGTCAGTACAGACCCCTCACGACTCTTGGCCTTGTGCCTTCACTGACGTAGCCGGCAAGAGTAAAGGAGGAAATCTGTGCGATCTTTGGAAGGCAGAAATCAACCAGGCGAAAACGCAAATTGTGCACACCCCTGAAGCTACCCTTTCCAACTTTCACCTCAGCCAACCCAAGCTCCCAGGGTCGCCACAGTTCCTCCAGCTCCTTTCAGATCCTTTTGGTGATCTCCCATCTTTCCTCGAATCTCACTTACCCTGCAACCAGGATGATAACGCGAAGGGGGTCCCCAGCCACTGTGATCAAGAAAAGCGCAAAGGCCGGGCCGAACGCGACAAAAGTGCATCCGAAAAACACTGCGGCCCCCATGGCTGGGGAGCAGGGGACGGGGTGAGGCCCGGCCCAGGGAGGCGAATGGCAAGAGTGCGCCACCTGGGAGATTGTGTAGGGTGGCGACGCGACCCCGCGAGGGGCGCGGTACAATGTCACCCCCAGACCCAGGAGAAGGGGGAGGGCGACACCGAAACCCCAGATGAAGGTCCCCGCGACTTCCTCTACGGAAGCCTAGATGTGGACAAACCCCAAGCCGCAGCCCCATGGCCACCTCCCATCTAATTCCCTCGAAAGCCAATGGAGAATCTGTGGGGGCGGGGCTCAAGGGGGCGGGGCTTGTGTCGCGTGGCCTGCTGGGGGTTGTAGTTTTCCTGCCGTTGTGAGTTTAGACCTCGGTCTCTGGAGTGGTCCCGGACGGAAAAGGGGTTGGGCCGCGAGTGGGCCGGGTCACGGCAAGGATTCCTGGGTTCAGCTCCGCCTCGGCTCTGGTTTCTTTTAGTTACTTGGTGGGAGAGGGTGTTAGCAACATCACGTCTTTTTGGAGTGCTCCAGACGGGGGAAGATCCTGTTTGAACCTTATACAAAGTACGAACAGGATAGGAAGTGCCGGGAGATAGGGACGAGTATTGTTCTTATTTGAATGAGAGGAAATAGGCTAAAGCTATTGTTGAAGAAGATGAAGGTTAGACTTAAAAGTAGAAATTCTTTGGACTGGCAGAGGAAACAAAGCGTACAGTATATCGCTAAAAGAAGCTTTCAAAAAAAAAAAAGAAGCTTTCGTCAGAGAGGAGCCTGGAGAGCAGCAGTTTTAAGGAGTTTAGAGAGAACTGGGGAATTAAAAGGAAAACGACACGCCCCCAAGATACTTAATTCCTTTTGTTATACTTCCTCCATTTTTCTGAAAATAAACCTCAGTAATATTTTTTTTTCTTCAGATTGGGGGAAGGGATAGAAGAAGTTCCATATTAGGAGTTTTAGACCTACATTTGGATGGGCACATTATTAGTCCTGGCGGAGGCTGTTAAGGTAAAAAGAATCTTAGAATGGCAAAGTAAGAGTTTAGAATATTGTTTTTTAACAGACTAACGTACCAGAAAAACATAAAAATTGTTCAAAGAGAACTAGTCTTCTTAGGATCTCCGTCCTCAGAGTAGGAGAGTAAAAGCAACGAAAGATGGTTAAAGGCTTTTGCAATCGCACCTGCATTTTACATTTTCCAAAGAAGAGACTAGAAGGGAAGTGGTTTGTGAATTAATGCATATGTGCACGTCCACTTAGGTATTTTAAATATTGTCTAAGAAATTATAGAAAGGAATTTAATGGATGAAATGTATAAATTTACACAGAAAGCCATCAAACAAATCCTCCTTCAGTTGGGTTGAGAAGGTGAGAATATCCAGGCAGGAAGACTTCGGTGTGTCCTGCTTTTAAACTCATCAGGCTGAGTTGGTCAAAGAGAGAAGAATTGAGTAACTCCTCTCTCCTTTGAGCAAGTGCCAAATTTATCTTGTTTGTGCTGGTTCCACGGAGACTACGTATGTAGTAGAGGCTAAGTTGTTCATTGCCGTTGACGTTTAGTGATCCTATAAGCAAAATGTGGTTGGGATGGGTGTGTCAGAGGCAGTGCGATTGGCACAGGATAGAGCAGGGTTTAGGGCTGTTGTACATAAGATCTCTATGAGTCGTAAACGACTCCACAGCACATAACAACAACAACAACAACATAAGCAAAAGACCTGAAGCCTTTCAGTAACTATTGTTTCTCAAAATTCATATAGTTTCCAGATGCATATTGTTTAGGAAATGGATGCCACTCCAGTAGTTTCTTGTTAATTCCTCTTTATAAACAACAAAAACGTGTTTCCTGTTTCATTGCTTGCAAATCCTGAATAGCCTATCAGACTACTTAATGCTCCTACACAGTAGAGACAGAGTCGGCACAGACCCATAGCTGACCCTCTGGTGGGTTGTCAGAGGCACAGGAGGACATTGCCCAGTCTTCTCCCAAAAACAGCTGGTAGTCTCAAACCGCCTTGGGAATTGAAGTTCAGGTTCTTGCCACCAGACCACAGCCCCCAAATATATGTTAATAAATTGAATGAAAAGCAGAAAAGTAAACACAGAAAGATGAGCTCAACTGGAAGAACACATCAAATGACTGCAAGTGACAGATGGAGAATCTACAGCATGAAAAGAGACTATTTGCTTCTTGCCTTCTTTCAATCTGTATCCCACCCCTCCATACCAGAAAGTTGAGAGAAAGGTGAGATAAGGTTGGTACTTACCGGAGAGGAAATAACAACAGAGATTTTTATCAGGCACTGGTACAAGTACAGGTGCTACCACTCTTCATAGCACAAGATGAGACCAGCAGACTATCTTCAGTTTACAAAAAGTGATCTCTTCGTCAGAACATGTCAACTGTGATAAGACTGTAATTGAACTTCAGAGAGAAGGGCAACTCTGGATGGTGACGGTAAGCCAGGGACAGGAAGGGGGAGAGGGTTGGGAGAGAGGAAGGAAAGGGAAGAGGGAAAACTCCTTGGTGGGTTGTTCGCAGAGGCTGCAGGAATCATGAATGGATCTGAAGGAGCTCAGATGAACACAAACCCCCATTTTTACTTTCTGAGCAAGGACTGGTAGTGAATAATGATCTTGTCCATCTGCAAGTGGGAGGAGAATTCTGTCCCTATAGAGAAGAATCTCTGACTCCCTCCCTTGGTGGGGGGGTGCGATGAGGCGGAGTAAGTTTAATGGGAAACGCTGTAATTTCCTTTTTTACTTTCAAAGCGATAGTGCAGAATCCAGAATGAATGTCCTCTTTGTGGCCATCCTTGCTGTACCACTTATCCTGGGTAAGTCCACTCCTCTCCAGGCACTTTTTGGTCAGGTCTTCTAGAGGAAAAAGAAAATGGGGAGAGGGTGAAAGATACAATCCGGCCTCCAATTGGAGTAGTGCTAATGCTCTCTTGTAAGCTGTACTAGAGCATTGTGTTCAGTGAGGAGGAGGTGGAGGAAGAGCGGGAGGTCTAAAAGGCAGAACCTGATAGAAGGAAGAAGAGCAGAATCCTTTTTTAAGTCAAAAAGACTTATGACAGATAAAGCCCCAAATGGAGCACCAAGCAAGACTGAACTAATTTCTCCATCACCACAGAGTTGAAAAAGATGAGAGGGACCAAAAGGAGAGTGAAAGAGAAAAGTAGGCTCTGTAGGTGGGAAGCCTGAAACTAATAAACAAAGTCATGGTACATGTTTCCTAGAAAATTGGAGGGAAAACTGTATTATTAAGACGTGGAAATAGGAACGTTTCTATGTCTTTAAGACAGCAGAGAACTGTCTTCAGGGACAGAGTCCCAAGAGTATCTGGCTCCTTCCCTTCTTTGTTTTTCCAGACAGCCAGGTGCTAAGTCTCATTGTTCTCTTTCCCCCCACATTCTTATGACATGGAGTTGGAGGGGCAACATTTGAGAAGCTTAACTAAGTGTTTTTAGCAGGAGGTTTGAAGTTCTTGATCTGATCATTTCAAAGTTACATATTTTTTAGCTCTGGAAAGGAAGAAAAGCTATCTGAGCTGGTTCACGTAGCGCAGTTGACTCATTTGAAGAAAGCAGCTGTTAATGACTTCTTCAGGATTGTTCTAATTAATAATGAAACAGGAACTGAAATCCAAATCTCCAAAAGCCTATTGTGGATGCATGTTTGTGAGTGTGATAAAGCAAGAATTCTCACAAATACATTAAGGCCCATAACATACTAGATAGATGATTTGGTGTTTCACATCAAAGATCTCTACTTTCTACTCCTTCAATTTTTAGGCTTAGTTCCATCTTTGGGTTTACAGTATGCAGGGGCCCATTTTCCATTTTGAGAGCTCCTCCGTCAAAGGGTAACAGGCCTCATCACAGATATGGAGCCTAAGAGACTGAGAAGGGTGCCTAAGAGACTGAGAAGGGTTTTAGAAGTACAGGGAGATAATAACATGATCTTCAGAGGGGAAGCAGAGAAAAAAGGAACTGATTGTATTAGAATTGATTCCTAGTGATCTCCTGTTGCTAAGAAGTTGTAGATTCTCTTTGACCTTCAGTTTTTGTCCCCAAAGGACAAGAATATTTGGATGAAGAATTGTTGGAAGAGGATGATTATTATCAGGTCATCTATTATTACACTGTCACCCCAAATTATGGTGAGTATGTATTAGAGTCTGATCCTTAGCCGGTTGAAGAGAAACTAGAATACCTAGTTCTGAGACCTTGCCTTTTCCTTTTCAGTGGAGCACCTGGATCAGAGAGAAATATGGCCATGAGCAAAAGTTATCAAGATCTGTGATGTTATTTTTCAAACTAGTGATTTTCAACTCTTTGGAAGCTGGTTGAAATAATATTTTAAAATTTCAAATTTGTAAATTATTTTAGATACTTAATATAAATATATACTCATTTTTCTACATTAAAGTTAATTTAAATTTGTATTTTATAACTTGAACAAGATGAAGTTCTCTGAAAAATTTCTTCCTTTCCTCATTTCTGGATCCTGGCTTACCTTTTCTCCTCTACTATAATTGATTTTATTTTTTTCTGCTCCCCAGATGATTTTGGTCCAAATTTCACCATTGATTACTCCATATTTGAGTCAGAGGACAGGCTGGTGAGTGACCTGTATATCTGAGAGTCTGTGTGCGAAGGTCAAGTTAGAAAACAGTTGTCAAAAGAAAATATTTATCACAATGCTAATTAGAATTAGTAGAGCTTATTTAGGCAAGAGACTGTTTTTAAATAGGGAACTTTCAGGGAGAAATTACAAGATGCTTTTTAAAGTAGTGCAAAGATAAAGGTTTTAAAAATAGGGAGTTTTTAGTGGGGAGTTTTTTAAGTCTTAGATGTTTTGTTGTTTTGACCTATAACAAATTCTTCATTTCACAGTGTTGTATATAGAATTTACTGGCTCGTTGGTTACTTAGTTATACATCACTGCTCTCACTCCTAGGGAGCTCTGGTAGCACAGTGAGTGAAGAGTTGTGCTGCCAATCCAAAAAGCAGGTAGTTCAAATCTACTAGCTGCTCCACAAGGGAAAGATGGGCAATCTCTTCTTTTGCTATCTTTAGGATAGACAGTCTCTAAAAACCTGCTGGAGGCTCAGCTATTAGTTGGTTTTAACTCCATAGTTTCAATTCCATGGCAATGACTGTCTGACTGGTTGTCGCAAAAATGCAAGAAGTGGGTAGATTTAAAGAGCAAAAAATTTTATTTTCTTCACAAATGAGGAGGCTAAAACTTCAAATCAGAGTCCTGGCCTGATGGAGGCCTAGATGTTCTTGGTTCCTTGGTTTATAGGTGCTCTGTTCTGCTGAATGTATCTACATTTATCTTGGTCTTTTGATTGGGTTTTAGATATGTCTATAATAAGGGGATTACACTACTTGTGTAGCCCTTAATCTGTTGAATTGCTAAGCAAAAGACTGTGTGTCTCTGGCAGTTAGAATTCACTGGTAGCTCCAAAGGAGAAAGATGAACAGCTTCCTCTCATTAAGATTTACAGCCTAGGAAACCCACAGCAGGGTCACTGTGGGTTAGAATTGATACAATCGCCGTATTTTTTTATTTTCATTAAAGGGAGGGTACATTTTCGTTTCATTAAAGGGAGGGTACATACAAAGCAGTATTTCTTTCATTGATTTTATAAATGTATTTGTCTGATGATAATTAGTAGAATCCAGAAGGATGAGTTAGAATTTTTTTAATATATTTTAATGAAAGTTTATAAAGAACTTGGATTTCCATTCATTCATTGTTGCACACTTTTCTCCCTGTTAGCCCTCCCGACCAGTTCACTTTTTTCTTTGGGGAAAAAAGTTCTTTCATTGTTATACAGTCCTCTCTCCTCCTCTGCTGACCACTTTACTATGCAACTCTTATTCTGGACTCTTGTCATGCCAGTAATACCTAATCATATATTCATTTTATACAGTTCTCTCCTGCGTCTGTTTCAATGTTATGTACATTATTTATCCCCTCTTTTCTGTTTTCCCCCAATCCCCATATCAGTCCTGTTTTAGAACAGTGGTATTATGCAGTATTTATCTTTTTGTGACTGAGGTATTTCACTCAGCATAATGTCTTCCATGGTCACCCATTTTATATAATATTTCATGAGTTCTTTGTTTTTCAGTGCTGCATAGTATTCCATTGTGTGAATATACCACAGTTTCTCTATCCATTCATTTGTTGATGGACACCTGGGTTGTTTCCAACTCTTTGCTATTGTGAATAAAGCAGCAATAAACATGGGTGTGCAAATATCTGCTTGGGTGGCAGTTCTGGTTTCTTTAGGGTATATTCCCAGTAGTGGAATTGCTGGGTCAAATGATATTTTCATTTGCAACTTTTTGAGAAAGTACCGTACTGCCTTCCTTAGTGGTTGCACCATTTTACACTCCCACCAACGGTGAATAAGGGTTCCAGTTTCTCCACAACCTCGCCAACATTTGTTGTGTGCTAGAAATATTTTTTTGAAAGTATTTTTAGGCGAGCTCTGGTGGCCTAGTGGCAAGAAGGTGTACTGTAATCCCAGAGGTGCATGGTTCAAATCCACCAGATTCTCTGCTGGAGAAGAAAGAACAATCTCCTCCTGTACCAGTCAGATCTGATTTGACCACACCCACACACACACACACACACATTAATAATAATAAAATAAAATTTTTTAAAAAAGTCTTTTTAATCCCTAACGTGCGTGGTTCAAATCCATCAGATGCTCCACTGGAGAACGAGGGACAATCTCCTGTGCCAGTCGGATCTGATTTGACAGCACACAACAACAACAACAAAAAGAATAAAAATAAATAAAATTTAAAAAGTCTTTTTTTGGGGGGGAAGAAGAATGAACTGGGGAGGAGGGTAGAGAAAACAGTGCAACAATGAATGAATGAAAACCCAAAATCTCTGTAAATGTTCACTAAAACTAAAAATTTAATAATAATTTTTAAAAGTCTTTTTAATTATTAAGTTGTTCTTTTTAGAAAGATTTTATAGTGAGAACACTTTGAAAATTCTTAATTATCCTGTCAAGTTTTGCCCCTGTTACAAATGGCTATTTGAATTTGTCTTGCAAGTTTTTGCACCTGGAAAAAACAGACATTAATTTTTAGCTTATATTTCACATAGTTTAAAAAAGGGGAATGGAAAAAAATTTTTTTAAAAAAGGGGGAACGGAAAACAACCTGGATTATGTTAAAGACTAGAAATAAATTTGATGAAGTAAAACTAGGTAGTAAACTCAAAACAGTTTTGATAACCACCATCAAAGAGGAAGGAATCCAGAACCTAATAGTCTTTTTAGACACTGAGGAAGGGCCCATCTCGAGTCCAGGGACTTGGGGAACTTAGTGACTAGGGATCAGATATGTAATCCATATCACTTATGGGTATCCTACGCAAGGGAAGGATAAGGAGAAACCTTGCCTCTTTGGGGGAAGGATTCTTTGGTAAAGTCCTGGAAACACTTAACAGAAAGTCTGTCAGGATGTTGAATTGAGAAAATGACAGCTGTGTTTCTCAATCCCATTGAGGGCAGAATAGGTTGGATGCTGAGGCCACCGAAGTAACAGAAGCAATAGGGGTAACGGAGGAAGTAAAGGTAACGGTTACAGATGTCACCAAAGCAGCAGAGACTACCATTTATCCTGAGACAGAACGTGCAGACCATCATAAGCCAGTAACAACGAAACCAGTGACATTGGAACCAGTGAGTATATTGGAGACTGACAGATCTGTCCCTTATGCTGGCATGAAACAGAGGGAAGGCCAGAGAAATGAGCTTCAATGGATGGAGGAACCAAATATAAGTACTGCAGTGCAGTTGTTCATCTCAATTTAGTCATCGTATTTTCCCCTGAGTTTTTATATTAACACTGTGTACAGAACATTAGAAAGATCTGACACAATTAAATTTCAGCTCAACAGTAATCAATGCATATATAATTTATGCCTAAAACTGCTGAAGATGTTAATGATTATGAAAGATAAATCTATGATGTTATGAGACTCAAAGAATGTATAAAAATCAAATTTAAATGTATATGAAAAACAACAAAAAAAGGTATGTAACTATTAAGTTTAAGCATATGTAACATAGATAAGTGTTTTAGGCAATCAAAAGAGAGAGAGCAGTACAGGCTGCAGTAATTTTTTTTAGTTTTTTCTGGAAAGTTTTTGTAAGGCAATTATGCTACTAGTAGAAAGTTATAAAATAATTAAGAGGATCAAGAGAAATTATTGCTATTCTATGAGTAAGAAAGCTCTGGTAATACAGACTTGGTATATCTAGTGGACAGGATATTATTGATGGAGAAAGTATATGGAGGGAAGCAGAGGGAAAATGATAGAAAACTAAAATTCACAAAACTCTTTGTATTTAAAAATCCCTGAGTGGACTAAGTGCTTAATTACTAGACCAAAGATGAATGGTTCAGATCTAACCATAGCCATTTCAAAAGGCAGGCCTGGAAGTTTGTTCTGCAAAGTCATAAGCTTGAGAAGCCTATGGAGCAGTTCTACTCCACTCTCAGGGGTATCCAGGCATCAGAATTGACTAGGTAGAAACTAGCAGCTACCACTGGTTTTGTAGCAATTTCACATAAAGCAAAATAAGATCAAATCATAATGGGTCTGCATTATCAGGCTGAAGTTTGGGCTTCATCTCATAAAAAATAAAGAGCCTGGCAAGCTCTGGTGGCCTAGTGGCAAGAAGCTGCAACTGCAATCTCAGAGATACACGGTTCGAATCCACCAGATGCTCTGCTGGAGAAGGAGGAACAATCTCCTCCTGTACCAGTCAGATATGATTTGATGGTACACACAAAAAAAAAATAATGAAATAAAATAAATTAAAAATAAATTAAGAGCCAAATAAGTTCTTCAGAATGGTAAAATCACAGCAAAGTGGTATTTTTAAAAGACTAATGATCTGTATTCAGGAAGCAGCAGAGTGAAGAATGATCCATGAGATTCACATTACTCCAAAATTAATCTGTTGAGGGCATTATGGAGAGGAGACAAATATTTTGAAGAAAATGCTTTGCTTCAGTGATAATTTCATATCATGAATAAACAAAGACAGAATTAAAAATAGCACAGGTTTTGAGATTGTTGTCTGGGGAAGAGGTTGACCAAAATGGGAATTGTGGGAAGTTAGAGTGGTTAGAAAGGAAATGATGAATTAGATTTTTTCAAAATTGACTTTGTGGTGACAGTCCTGTGATAATGTCTAAAAGTAGTTGAATTAGGTCAGGGCTAGTGTTCTCTGTGTAAAGACACAGTTATCAAAGTAGATGAAGTCAACACAGTACACACAGAAAACCAAAAGCCCAATGACTGTGTCTGTAGTTAGTTGGAGAAGGAAGAAGAGTCGACCACAGATTAGAGTAGTAGGCAGATAGCCAACTTTATATTATGGATTCTAGATGAGATAATGAATATTATCACTTAAAAGCTAACAAGAGGTCAAAGATAAGACTTTTGGTTACCCCACAGAAACAGTTTTAATTGAGAGTTGAAGCAAAACCTAGGTTTTGTTGGAGTTAGAGAAAGAGTAGATTGTGAGGAAACAGAGGCAAAGTAGATAACAATTTGAGAAATGTGATGATGAAAGAAGAACAAAAACAGGAAAGGTAGAACTTTCAATGTAGAGAAGAGGAGCTGGTAGAAATGGAAAGATGAAGATTGCCAACAGGGACAGAGAAATCTTTTAAGGTGTAATCTACCTTTAAATGTTAAGCTCCTTGAGGACAGGAGCCACACCTAAATCATATTTATATCTCCTCTATGCACTTAGAGGGAGCTCTGGTGACCAAGAGGGTAAGGAGTTATACTGCCAACCCAAAAAACACATAGGTCAAATCCACCAGTTGCTCCATGGGAAAAAAATGGGTCATCTCCTTCTATGCGAGTTACTGTCTTTGAAAACCCACTGGAGGGTCAGTCATGAGTCAGTTCGAACCATTGGCACCTAGGGAGCTCTGGTAACTTAGTCAGTAGGGAGATGCACTGAAAGGCCATGCCTCTCTAGTAGTTCAAATCCACCAGAGTATCTCTGGAGAAAGATAGGCACTCTCCTCCCATCTAAGTTACAGTCTGAGAAACCCAATGAAGGATTGGGCTGAATTTAAAAATTGTTCTAACTCAACTGCAATGAGTTTGAATTTGAGTTCTTATATCACTTAGAAAAAGGTCCATGGATGGGTCAAGTGGTTTGCTCTCAGCTATTAACAGAACACTTGAAGCCCACCCATTGGCACTTTAGAAGAAAGATCTGATAATCTGCTTCCTTAAAGTTTTACAGTCAAGAAAACCTATGGAGGAGTTCGACTCTGTAATACATGGGCTATTGAGAGAAAAAAAACCTCCATGGCAATGGGTTTGGATTATTTGTTTAGTTTTTTAATAGTGCCCACCATATATAGGGCAAAGCTCAGATCTGTTGTTAACAGGATTGCAGTGAGTTCTAATTCATTTGATGGCACCTAACAACAGCCAGTGCACCGTGATTAGCATAGCAGCATGCACATAATAAATACCCAATGGGTGTCACTGGATTTAATTAGGATTACTGGTATGGTGTAGAATAGCTGGAAGACACTAGACACTAAAAGAGTTCTTTTAGTGATTGACAAGAGGGCTAAATCGGTCTTTAAGCCTGGAAGATAAACAGGAATGAGTGTAAAGAGGGTGGCTGTCCATCCTGGAGTGGGGGTGGGAGATAGGGAGGTTGATACCGGCCTGCTGTGGGGGAATGTCTGTATTTCAGCAGAGTCCAGATCTGAACGATGCTGTGTCCAGTCTGCAGAGTCCTGTTTTCCTGATCCTGTCCTGGGCCCTCATTCAGGGGGGCATATATTTCATGTAGAAGGTGAGAGAGCAGCCATTGTAAAGTGATTTTTTTTAAATCAATATTTCTTGCATTTTCAGCCTGGTCACTTATCTATCAATTACTTAAGAATAAGGACATAATAGAATTTTATTGTCTTTAAGGTTTTAAAGAAGGGGTAAGATTACTTGAGAGATGTGGAGGCAAAGACTTATAAGTCACTAATTTTTCTGAGCTAGAAGAACTTCAAACTTCCTAGATGGTAGCAAGAATGAAGAAGAAAGCTCTTTAGGTTTCCAGTCAGCCAGGAGTAATTAAGAGTTGGTTTCAACCTAGTTCTGGCTAAAAGGATGATAGGTGACAAAGGGCAAAAGGGGTGGAGTCGTACAGCCAAGCAGAGTCTAGAGGCAAAGTTCAGAGGTTTATGGGCTGTTGATACCCTATTATTTTAAGTTAGAAATGCTGGGGAAGAAAGGAAGAGGAACAAGAAAACTGTACTATTGGGAGAGAAATTCAAGTTGGGATTTTTTTATTTTTTTTAAGTTTATTATTAATTTCAGTAAAAATTTAGAGACTTTGGGTTTTCATTCATCCATGGTTGCACTTTTCTTCTCTCCCAACCCTCCTCCCTAGTACACTACCCTCTTGGAAAAGTAAAAGACAAATTATTTCATTGTTTTACAAACCCTCCCCCAGGTCCACTCCACTATGCAGCCTTTGTTCTAGACTCCTGTCATGACAAAAATACCTAATCACATATCCCTTTTAAACAGTTTTCTCCCTCATCTGTTTCAATGCAGTATACATTATTGAACCCATCTT